AAAAAAAAAAAAAGAGAGAAAATTGTCAGCTCCCCATTTTTGTTGTTGTCGTTATTGTTTGTTTGCTATAGGGCACTTGTGCTTGCCAAAGAGAGACAGAGAAAGGGAAAGTGAGAAATCACCCTCAAGGCGGGGTGGCGGGGTGGCGATGGCCATGCTGCAATCCCTTCCTCTTTATTCTCTTTCCAGGATTTTGGATTCGCAAGCACTCTGGGTATCTCAAGCCACCAGGTCTGAGACTCGAACCGCACACACAGTTGGCCATGTGGAATCCAGTTATATTATCCACCACGCCACCAGCTGACCTCAGAACATATTTTTGAGGTGGAAGTTGTCAGGATGATTAGGGTGGGGGGAGCACTACACAAGTTCAATGAATGGGGTCCAGGCTGCTAGGCTTCCTGCAGTACACAGAACAGCCCTGCCTGACAGAAATTGTTCCACATGTCTAATTTTTTTTTTCTTTCTCTTATATTTTTATATTTAATCACCGTTCATCTTTACAGCGTACAAAAAAAACTTTCCCAGCATGAATACACTGGCTATTAGTCCAGCCAAAGATATTCCCATTTACCTTATGCCATATAGTTTTCTTTTTTCCTTTTTTTTTTGGAGAGGTTTTTGCTATAGGGCGTGTGCGCTCGCCAGACAGACAGAGAGAGACAGAGAGATAGAAAGCAGGAAATCACCCCCCAGGGGGGATGGCCACGCCGCAATCCCTTCTCCTCCATTCTCCTCTCGGGACCTTGGGCACGCACGCACACGTGCCCGGCGTGAGTTTAAGCCACCGGGTCCAGGACTCGAACCGCGGTCGACTACGTGGGAGTCCAGCGACATAGCCATTACGCTAACTGCTGGTCCCTCTTTTTTCCTTTTTTCAGAACTTTTCGCTTTAATGTACGTGTGCTCACCAGACAGACAGAAAGAGACAGACAGAAACACCGAGAGGGGGATGGCCATGCTGCAATCCCTTCTCTTTCATTCTCCTCCTAGGATCTTGGGCATGCACGCACACACAACCAGTATGAGTTTCAAGTCAGTGGGCCCGTGACTTGAACCACAGTTGACCATGTAGGAGTCCAGAGACATAACCTCTATGCCATCTGCTGGCCCTGCCATATGATTTTCAGATGTCTTATCGGACGTTTACTTGGTGAAAAATATGTTGTATTATTTATCTTAACCTAGAATCTGATTCTCTTTTCCCATGAACACAAAGCCTTTTGTACTGTTCTAATACAATTGAGTTTCCTAGGAATACTGCTTGTGTGTAGGTGATGGAAGAGCCTTTGTTTTCTTTGGGAAATCTTCACCGCAGCTGCTCATCATAGTTCAGATCCCAGTCCAGTTGTCTGTGATGCTCGGAATGGCCGCAGGCCTCTGGCAATGACATTAGGGCTTTAGATAAAGTCATGCATAATTTGTACATGTTCAAATACAGATTTTTACACATTAATTTTCTCTTATTTCTCCTTATGTGAGTTAAATTTATTATTTTGAAATGGTGTGTATAGATGGGTGTGGGGAATCCATTTGCCCCTCCAGATCCACTCTGATCTTCTGTGCCCTGCTTCCTGTCCCAGGAAACTGACTTTTGTGGGTGGCATCAACCAACTTACTTGCCCAATGGCTTCCTGTTGGGTTCAGCCAAAGGGAGATGCCACTCCCTTATCTTGGCCCTTCAGGGGCTCTGTCATTCTTTGTTCCTTTAACTTTGCCCTCATCTCTGTCAATAATCCCTTCATGGAACTGGTCTCAATTGGACTCAGTTTGAGTGTGCAATTTCCTGCTAGGCCCTAACACAATAGTTAGTTTTATTTTCTGAATTTGATTTGGTAACATTAAAGAACCAAGATACAAACAATTTTTTATAAAAAGGGAGTAAATCCAGAATGTGGAACATTCTACAGAACACTTGATCTGGTTTGCAGTAATTCAGTAATATAAAAAATAAAGGAAGGGGAACAAACATAAAACCCTGACAAATAAACGGAGGGAATAGAAGTGCTGGAGATAAACAAGATTGAAAGGGCATGACAAAATGAACTGTGTAGACCTTTTTGGATCCAAATTTGAACAAACCCACTGTAATGAGACATGCCTAAGACATTGGGGAAGGTAGAATTATAGACTAGGTATTGAATGACACTAAAGCAAACTAAAAAACAAATAATAATAAGAAGAAGATGCTTAAAAATATTTGAAATACTAGTTTGAGGGACCAGCAGATGGCATAATGGTTACATTGCTGGACTTCCACATGGCCAGCCATGATTCGAGTCCGGACCTGGCAGCCTAAAATTCAACGCCAGGTGCATGTGCGTGCGTGCCCAAAACCCTGAGAGAAGGAAGACTGGAGGAGAAGGGATTGTGACATGGCCTTCCCCTCTGGGGGGTGACTTCTCACTTCCTGTCTCTCCAGTGAGCGCACACACCCTATAGCAAAAATCTCTCTTAAAAAAAAATGCATTATACACACACACACACACACACACACACACACACACACACACTAGTTTGGACTTTAAGAGCAATGAAAATGTTTTCTAACTTCAAAATGTGGAAGATTCATAGACTTAATCAATGAATTTAGCTAACAGATGCAAGACCAATATACAAAATAAATATTTTTTGAAAGAATTATTTTATTTAACTTTTATTTATTTATTACTTTTTCAAAAAATTTTGATCAGAGAGCAACAGAGTGAGCGACAGAGAGAGAGAGAGAGAGGGAAAGTGAGAAAGCAAGCCGCCATGTCTAGGACTCAAACCACAGTCGGCCATGGGGAAGTTCAGAGCCCTTAACCACCACGCCACCTGCCGGCCCCCAAAATTAACATATATATATCTACTGGCAACAAACAGTTGTGAAATGATGCGGGGAAGATGCCAGATTCTTGTCTGGAAACCTCAGGGGCCCCCCCAGCCGTTGCACGAGCCCACGATTGAGGCCGGCTGACCCTGCGGGTGATCACGGCATGAAGACCGTTTGCAGTGCTTCTCTCTTTTTCACTCATGGAAAAAAAAAAAAAAAAGTAAATAAACTTAAAAAAAAAAAACCAAAAACCTGGGAGGGGCCAGCAGGTGGCATGGTGATTAAGGGGGCTAGACTTCCACATGGCTAACCATGGTTCAAGTCCCAGACCTGGAAGCTTGTTTTTTTCACTTTCTCTCTCTTTTTCTCTCTGGAAATGTTAAAAAAACAATAATAATAATAAATAAAAGTTAAATAAAATAATTATGTTTTATAAACCTGGGAAATAAAATTTATAAAGTTATATTATTTACAATAGTATCAAAAATGCCAAATTCTTAGAAATAATTCTGTTGAAAGATGTGCATGATCACAACAATAACAACTCTAAAAAAAAAAAAAGAAAAAACATGAAACTTTTTTTTTGAGAGATTTTTTGCTATAGGGCATGTGTGCTTGCCAGAGAGACAGAGATAAACCTGGGCAATAAAATTTATAAAGTTATATTATTTACAATAGTATCAAAAATGCCAAATTCTTAGAAATAATTCTGTTGAAAGATGTGCATGATCACAACAATAACAACTCTAAAAAAAAAAAAAGAAAAAACATGAAACTTTTTTTTTGAGAGATTTTTTGCTATAGGGCATGTGTGCTTGCCAGAGAGACAGAGAGAGAGAGATAGAAAGTGAGAAATCACCCCCTAGGGCAGGTGGCTACACGACAATCCCTTCTCCACTCTCCTCCTGGGATCCTGGGCATGCGTGTATTCACGCCTGGTGTGAGTTTGAAGCCACTGGGTCCAAGACTTGAACCATGGTTAGCTACGTGGGAGCCTAGCGACATAAACTCTATGCCACCTGTTGGTCCCTATAAAAAATTCTCGACATAAATTAAGCATAACTTTAAATGGACAAACATCCCATGTTTATTCATTAGAAGACTCAATACCCCTTTTTATTATTTTTAATTTTTTATATTTATTTTGTTATAGGTCATGTGTGCTCACCAGAGAGAAACAGACAGAGAGAAAGAGAAAATGAGAAAGAAAGCCATCAGGTCCAGGACTTGAATCACGATTGGCCATGTAAGAGTCCAGTGCCTTAACTACCATGCCACTTGCTGGCACCAGAAGACTTGATACTCTTAAGATGACGATTTTCCCCCCAGAAAATGTACTCTATAGATTCAACGAAACCCAGTCAAACTCTCAACAGGCTGTGTGTGTGTATGTTCATGTAGACTGGCAGGCTGATTTCAAAATGTATGTAGACAACAGACATAAACTAACCAAAAAAAATCTTGTTTATATGGGACCACAGTTGGCGTAATGGCTATGTCGCTGAACTCCTATGTACTCGACGGTTTGAGTCCCAGACCCGGTGGCTTAAACTCACACCGAGCGGGCGCATGTGCATGCGTGCCCAAGATCCCAAGAGGAGAATGAAAGAGAAGTGATTGTGGTGTGGCCATCCCCCCCTGGGGGGGATTTCTCACTTTCTGTCTCTCTGTCTCTGTCTTTCTGGCGAGCACATGTGCCCTATAGCAAAAACCTCTCCCCCCCAAAAAAAAAATCTTGATTATAAAAATGAAGTTGTAGTTAAGGTATTATAGTAGGTAAGGCACTGGACTCCCACATGGTTGACTGTGGTTCACATCCCCGATCTGATGGCCTGAAACTCAGGTGGTGTGCATGCGTGCAGAAGAGAAGGGATTGTGATTTCTCACTTTCTCTCTCTCTCTGTCTCTCTCCAGTGAGCACACATGCCCTATAGCAAAAATATTAAAAAAATAAAAGAAGAAGCTGAGGGGCCAGGAGGTGGCGGAGTGGTTAAGATGCTGGACTCCAACATGGCCTACCACGATTTCAAGTCCTGGGCCAGTGGTTTGGAAAACATGCCAGGTGTGTGTGTGTGTGCATGTGTGTGCCCAAAATCCCCAGAGGAAAATGGAGAAGGAATTGTGGCATGGCCATCCCCTCTGGGGGGTAATTTCTCACTTTCCTTCTCTTTGACTCTTTCCAGGGAGCACACATGCCCTATGGCAAACTCCCCTCTCCCTCAAAAAACAAAATTGGAAGACTTACATCATTGGAGTTCAAGATTTACTAAAAAGGTACGGTAATTGTGACAGGGTACTTTTGGAATAAGAATAGTCAAGTAGGTCACTAAAACAGAAGAGAGTCCAGATAGGGATTCATGCATACATACTGTCTCGACTTACATCAAAGGTGTCCATGTAATTAAATAGGGAAGAATGACTTCTTATTTTTATTTTTTTAGATTTCTGCCATAGAGGCATGTGTTCACCAGAGAAGGATAGCACACCACAGTTCCTTCTCTTCCATTCTCCTCTCCTAAACGAGCCCAAAAATCTTGATTAAAAAAATGAAGCGGACGGGCCAGCAGGTGGCGTAGTGGTTAAGGTGCTGGCCTCCAACATGGGCAACCACAGTTCAAGTCCCAGAATCAAATCCTGCTGTTCGAGTCCCAGGGTGGGTGGAAAACACCGAGTCCTAAGCCTTCTCTGGTGCACCACCTCCCCAGTCCTCTTCTCTCTTCTCCCTCTCTTCCAGGCCTCTCTAAGCTTTTGGGAGAACACGTGTACACACACAGGTGATTCTCAGTATTAATGGTAGTTATGATGGGGCCGGCAGGTGGCGTGGCGATAAAGGGCGTTGGACTCCCACATGGCCGACCACGATTCGAGTCCTGGACCTGGCAGCTTGCTTTTTCACTTTCCCCCTCTCACACTCTGTCCCTCTCTGGTCAATTTAAAATAAATAAATACACATAAATAAAATGTTCTTGGAGTCACCGTGAAGTTGGAATTAGCAAATACCAGACCACATGGCAGGAGCGCATGTGCCCTATAACAAAACTAAACAAAAAAGCCAAGGATACTTAGAAGAGTGACAAGCCTTGATCTCATTTCTAGAGACATGGTCCATCTTCAAATCTTTGCAGATCTTCATTGGGACGGAAGGGAGGCATGGTTTTAGGCAGATGCCAAAGAGCAAACTTAGGGGCAAACCACAAGAAGAAAATCTCCACTGAAGGCGAGAAGGGCCTTTGCTACACCTTTCTCCAAAAATACGGCATTCCGGCTGCTGCAGCAGTGATGAGCCGTCTCGCTGAAGCAAGCCACAAGGTACAGTGGCCAGTTCACCTATCCAAAAATAAAGGCATACACACACGCATAAATGGGGCTGAGGGCCACTCTCGCCATCCCTGTGCTGCAGAGGAACATGACCTCGGTAAATATGCTGCACACATTAAACAAACTAGCTCTGCTTTTCAAGCACAGCGTCGTTTCCGGAACACCGGGAGTGACAAGTACATGCCAGTAGATGTGTGAGGTAACTTTTGAAACTAGATCTGCGAATTGTAAATAGATGCGTATTTGCTCTGCCCTATCCCTCCTTGATTCTTTATCAACATGTTCTCTCACTTCTGTTTGCAAAATATGTTTGTCCGAGAACACCGACTGCTCTCCTTATCAGGAGCTGGAGTTCTCTGCTTGCCGTGGGGACTAGAAAGAGACAACAGTGTTCTGTGGCAATCTGGGGAGCGGCAGTATGCCACGACAGAACTGAGTACAAACGCTAATTTGTACTTTCTCTGTGAAGTGAGGTCAAAGGAGGTTTCAGGATATACCTTTTATCAAAGGGAAATCAAATAAATAAAACTATGTCAGTTTAAAAAAAGGGGGGGGGGGAATGGAGCCAGCAGGTCGTGTGGTGGTTAAGGGTGCTGGACTCCCACATGACTGACCACGGACCTGGCGGCTTGATTTCTTACCCTCTCTCTCTCACTCTGTCCCTCTCTGATCAAATTAAAAAGAAAGAAGAAAGAAAAAGAAAGAGAGAAAGAAAGAACGAAAAAGGAAGGAGGAAGAAGAAAGAAAGTTAAATAAAACAATGCCAAGAAGAAAGGGCTGAGCTGTCAACGGTATATGCAAAAAGACAGCCAGTCAGTCGTGAGTGGAGTGTGGTGAGGTCATCCACGCAGGAGAGGAGGGATAGACTGGACAACCGTGGTCTCTTCCCTCTGCCACTGGATCCCTTTAAGGAGCAGCTCTTCCCACCCACGATGCTGCCCCTTCCTGTTCACAGAAATGGACAAGCCCATCATCCGGAAGGGTAGACAACTAGGAATCTAGTCCTGGAGTCTGGGCCTTAATGGAAGTGGAGGTGGAGGAGAGAATACAGAACAAAAATCCTGGTTCTTAAGGAACTGACAGATTCGGTGAGCAAACAAAAATAACTGAGTTGGGGGATGACAGGTGGCATAGTGGTTAAGGGCGCTGGACTCCCACATGGCCGATTGTGGTTCAAGTCCCTGACCTGGCAGCTTGCTTTCTCATTTGCTCTCTTTCTCTCTCTCTGTGTGTCTCTTTCACTCTGTCCCACTCTCGTCAAATTAAAAATAAATAAATAAAGTTAAATAAAATCATTCTTTTTTTTAAAGAATGATTTTATTTGACTTTTTTTTTATTCTTATTATTTTCCAGTTTGATCAGACAGAGACAGAGACAGAGAAGGAAAATGAGAGAGCAAGCTACCAGGTCCGGGACTTGAACTGCAGCTGGCCATGTGGGAGTCCGGTGCCTTTAACTACCACACCACCTGCCTGCCAGCCCCTAAATAAAATAATTCTTAAAAATATATATATAAATAACTGAGCTGGGAATGAGATCTGGATTCAATCCTTTTGCCTTTGGCTGGCTTTGTGCAACTCCCTCCCTCTCTATGATCCTGGGTGGCTTCTACACCTTCTCCAGGACTGGCATCTGTTGAGGCTGCAGGGGGGTCACTGAAAGGCAAGGTACCGGAGTGAATGACTGTCATGCCTGTGGTGGCAGATGGCAGCCAGAGAGCCTCCAGGCCTCATTCCCCATCTCTCATGAAGCGCTATAAAGGCGGGTAGCCCAGCACCTCCCTACTTCTCTGTTCCTCAATTTAGGACACCCTAGACTTCCTCTAAGGCATCTAGACCACGTTCAGTCACCTTGGGGCAGGGACCTAGCTGGCCGCCCTAGGCCAGTTTTAACAGGATTTCTGCCAGACAGTTTCCAGGATGGTGAGCAATCAGGACTCACCCTGGGCTGGGCCTTTTTAGGGTTTGGGCCTCACCCTGGAAAGTGCCTTAGGCCACAACAACCAGAAACGTCATTAATTACCAAGATATGAGCCCCACCAAGCCCAGCCCAGCTGCCCTGGAGAAAAGGGGAGGCTCTAGATTTTGTGCAAAACACCTAGTCCTAAGCCTTCTCTGGCTCACCACCTCCTCAGTCCTTTCTTCTCCCCTCTCTTCTCTGCCTCCCCGATATTCAGAAAGAGACAGAGCTGCATGCACGCAGGCGATCTCATTCTTATCATGGTTACACTCTGCAGAGTCCCCCTGCGCTGGGAACTAAGGCAGGAGAAAGCTAGCTAACGGGAGCAGGGAAGGGGGCTGGGGCATCTGCCTACGTGGCCAGATAGGAAAACTCCTTGTCCAAGGTAATGTGGGTGGATTAATAGGGGACGTCTAGCTAATTAAGCCACATTCGACATAGCCAGTGAGATAAATCAGTGGGCCCAGCCACATGTGCTAGAGCCAATGACATGAGGACCATCAGTGGACTCAGCCCATCATCAACTGACATGACCTAGATTCGAAAATTAAAACTAGGACCAGCAGGTGGCGTGGTGGTTAAGGCACTGGAGTCGCACATGGCCAACTATGGTTTGACCTGGCAGCTTGCTTTCTCACTTTCCTCCTCTCTCTCTGGTGAGCGCATGCGCCCTATAACAAATTTTAAAATAATAATAATAATAATAATAAATAAAATAGTTTTAAAAAAGTTTAAACCTTGTAGATTGCCACTGCAGAGGCCATTACCACTTTGTCCGCTCAGGCCCACTCCTATCTGGGGAGTGCGCTTCCACTTCTATTCAATAAACTACCTTTTTCTTTCACCATTGGCATGCTCGTTCAATTGTCTGAAATGCCAAGAACCCGGATATTATTGCAGAAGCTATTCCACAACAGAATCAGCAAACACCAGACCATTGCTCCTGGAGAGCACGCTGTAATCCCTTCTCCATTTCTCCATCCTGTCTGGATTTGGGGAATGCACTCACATGTGCCTGGCACGTCTTTCAAGCTGCCAGGGCTAGCATTCAAACCATGAGGGTGGACCTGCAGGATCTGGCTCCCATAACCACTAGGCGGCAGGGTCAGCCCCTTTTCCATCATATTTTCTATATTGACATTGAAAAATAGAGCTTTCTGCGGTGGGGCCAGCCCATGGCACGGTGACTGAGGCAGCTGGATCCCACATGGCTCACTGCATGGTTTGCGTGCTAGACAAGGCAGTTGTACAAGCATGCCCAAAATCCTGAAAGGAGGGAGAAGTGGAGGAGAAGTGATGGCGCAATCATCATCTCCCATAAGAGGTTCTCTCTCTCTTTCTCTCTTTCTCTCCTTGCTCTCTCTGTCTCACACAGCCTCTGGCAAAATTTAAGATAGTAAAAACAGAACTTTCTGTAATGATGGAAATGTTGTGTACTAACACGGTAGCAGGTAGCCACTGGAGGCTTTGTGAACTTAAAGTGTGACTAGTGGAGATCAGCAGGTGGTGTGGTGGTTAAGGCGCTGGATTCCCACGTGGCCAACCGTGGCTGGAGACCCAGACCCGGCCACTTGAAAAATTATGCAGGGCATATGTGTGTGCATGCCCAAAATCCCAGGAGGAGAATGGAAAAGAAGGGATTGTAGCATCGCCATCCCCCCTATGCGGTGATTTCTCACTTTCTCTTTCTCTGTCTCTCTCTGGTGAGTGCACTCACCTTATTGCAAAAACCTTGAAAAAAAATATGTGACTAGTGTGGGGCCAGCTCTGTAGCCTAGTATTTGAGGAAGCCAGATTCCGTATGGCCAACTGTGGTTCGAGTTCCAGCAGGTTGAAGAACATTGTGGGTATGTGTACTCAAATTCTGATGGCAAGGAGAAGTGGAGATGGGAATGCAGTGTGACCATGCTCCTCCCACCCCATCTCTCTGGCCAATGCATGGGCTTTCTGGCAATTAAAGTAAATAAACAAAGGGACCAGCAGATGACATAATGTTC